ATATAAATACAACTAAAATAACTCTGGTGTGAACAGGCCTTCATTATATCTGATCTGAACATCTGCTGTCAAAGTCTGCTCTATTAATGTCCTGCTGCTTTCATGCTCGTCTCTTTTTAATGACTGCATTAGTAACGCAACTCCAAGAAAGATATCATTTGAAATCAAAGGCTGAATGTCTTTAATTATGGAAACATTTGTGGAAACATTTACGAAATGATATGAGATGGTCACAGTCTAGATGTTTTTTTAGCTTGTAGTTTATTAAAGAATAAAGTTTGACCTCCAGAATAAAGAAAGCAAAATATATTTTATTAGTATATACAAGAATGCCAAATCAAGAACAATAATGAAACTGTATTATATAATATACTACAAAACCTTAAATAAAAGATACAACTGGGTCATTACCTGTCATAATCTGTTAGCACAAAGAAACAACAATTTAGTAAATCAAAATCTAAATTTGGCAATGAAAAACGCACTGACAGATATACAGAAAACAAGTCTCACCTTCTGTGAGTACAGCAGAGATGTTGAATTACATATAAGGTTTCAGTCAGGACGGCCCTCCAGTTGACCCCATGAACACAGTGTTAATGGGGGGCAGACACGACACCATTTCTCTAATCTCTGTGGTCCCCTGAAGAGGCAGCAGTGCATTCTGGGAGTGATAAGGAGCAGGAGTTCCAAACATGCAGGGTGTCGAGACGGAGCAGGAATGAGCGATGCTGGATCCTGAAATAGGACAATATAAAGAAGCATGAGACAGTAATGGAATATATGATATATAAAAATGGCCAAAAATAGCCATGCATAACGACATCATTAAATATATAAGGGAGGCTGGGGCTAGTTGTCACACTATGTATAAGCACTTACCTTAAAGTCTTGGTTAAAAAAACAAGAGTAAAGATGCAGTTCATTTAATGCACATTGTCACAATGGTAACCTGCCAGTAGTTCATTTTATGACTTTTTAATGGTAAAATTTGAAGAGTAAATTATGTTTTGAAGCAATTAATGGAACTGCAACATTTTGCAACATACACTACCATTCAAATGTTTGGGATTAGGAGGATTTTCTTTTTAAGCAATTAATAGTTTTATTTATCAACTGTATATTAAATTGTGCAAAAGTGACAGTAAAGACTTTTACATTGTTGCAAAAGGTTTCTATTTCAAATAAATGCTGTTCCTTTGAACTTTCTATTCATTAAAGAATAATGAAAAAATGATCATGGCTTTCACAAAAAAGATGGTTTTCTGCGTTGATAATAATAATAATTGTTTCTTGATTGTTTAATAGAATTAATGTAATGATGCTGAAAATTCTACTTTGCATCACAGGAATAAATTACATTTCAAAATATATTCAAATA